ATGTCATGCAATTCATACGGTCCAATATCCATTCTAATATAGCGCTCTTAGTTTTAAAAAAATATAAATTGGAATATCTGATAGCTATAAGAGCAAATAAGTACAAAGTAAAATGAAGAGGCAATCGAATGACATTTAAATGAAGCGTACGAAGCCAAAGTCTGTGTTTTGTCAACGCGAACTCTATGGCTAAAAAGATTTTTAGTGTGCACGACACCACCCCTGTTTATTTAAAGGCACTTTCTAACCTTACTTAGCTCTCAACATCAACTCCTTTGCAGGACATGAAATTGTTTGAAGATGTTAACAATCACATGAGGTTGGTTGGGGTATAAGAGGCGGAAGCGGCAGCTGCCTTACAGCTTCGCGAAACTTGCAGGTCTTCCATCCGTTGTAGCCCAGTCAACGTCTTTTTCTTGTTGATGAGGTCAAACGCACACTTGCGCTAAGGTTGTTTCTTTTTTCTGACGGAGTTGCGTTCACGATCAAAAAGTCTTTGCCGAGAAAGAAGTTGTGGTATCAGACATTTGACTTCCAGTCGATCAATGCTCCATGGCGATTAAACCTCGCCATACTTACGACTAAAGCACATATTATAAAAGTAGGTCTGAATACCTTTTGAATACCGTTTCAAGCTGTCAAACCAGTCTCACAAAAAGCCAAACAGGATCTTTGAGCCTTCGGCATGTCCCCCTGGGCAAATTGAGCAGATTCTGTGTCCGTATTTAGCATCCTATAATGCCATAGTGATCTGTATATTGGTGCCAACAGTCGCTTGTCGTATGCAATTGCTGATAAAGACTAGCGGCAGTGGAGAAGTGTGTAAGCTAATAGTAAGCTAATGATATTTTTATGAAGATTGTGCTGGACAAAACCATTGTTGATTATATTTTGTTCGGCACTCCCCGCCTATTTGAGATGTATTATCGACGACTCATGAGATACATCAATATCCCTCTAACTTCGGTTCGTACGATGTAGTGGGATGTTCCGGAAATACCACAAGGAATATCTAACTCGATCTTCGATTGTCTGGTGGAGTAGCTGTTCAGATCCATTATGCCTTTGTACTAACCTATTTCATTGTTGTATGCGTCAAACGTCGAGCAGAACACAGGGAGTTGGACGTGGCGAACCATGTCATTAACTTGCGCGCTGAGGTAGAGCGTTTGCGCTTCCAAAACGTCATTGTTAAAATCGACAAGTGTGATTTTCTCATCGACAAACGTCCCAGTCTTATGAAAATCAGAGTTTGCTGGCAGAACTTGCACAATTGAGGGCCGTAGCAGATTGGCCAGCGCCTCTGTCTCCAAGGAACTCAAGGAGTGGCTTTGTATTGCCAATTACATGAACAAGTGTATCGCACATTAAACCGTCATGGCATGGCCGTTCACCGATCACCTTCACTAAAATAAAACTAGTGTCGATTCGCGGGAGAAGAGGCTATCAGATTGTTCAAGAAAGCATCATCTGTGTTTCGATTCTGGCTCTTCTACATTCGCATCGAATAATCTACTGTTGTTTACGGCTTAAAACTTTTTTGACCTTTAGTGTGATCTACTCCAAAAAATGTTAACGGGCATCAGCGCATCATTGCGTTTGAGCATGGCTTGCTGTAGAGAAGAATTAAATCGTTCATAACAAGATACTATTCGCTATACTTTATGCCTTGTCAATCCATTGTACACCTCTTTGGTGATAAGCCATTTGCGATCTATGCAGATCATGCATCGTGCTCACGGCGTCGATATCACTGCATCTCTAACAGAGAATTGCTATACGATTATCCGCCTTTGCCATCATACCTTAAAATAAGTGTATGAGCAAGGCTAGCTTAATCTGATGTTGTTTGCGCTTTCGCCTCACACCGACTATGAGCCGCCACACACACACATCATTAATTGACGTGGCAATACGTACGACGTACGGGTTAGACGCAACGTGTGCTGCATTACAGACGGCCTTGAGATGCAAGGAGTTTAAGACTTCATATACCGCTTGATCGCCAGCTGAGATCGCCCGTTTGCGCAAATTTAAGAGAGTTGTTGTCTTTCCATAATTGTCTCAATCACCTTTTAAAGTGTAGTAGCGACCCAATCAGTTCTGAGCGCGAATTCTGTGACCCAAGTCGGGGACCGTAAGTACCGACTACTGTACAAGGCAAGCGATAACCCCTTGGGTGGCTTTCAAGGGAGAGAACAGACATACTGCTCATTTCACTAGGTATGTTGGCCTAACATGTATATGTGAGTAAACGCACATTTGTGTACGTATAAAAGTTGTCAATGGGTCAAGCCTGAGGCGGAACCTTTGATCTGCGTTTCAGTTTGAACAGAGTGTTAACAGTCCATAAGTGCGAACATTATGTCCGATATTTTTATGGACGCAGCCGTTATATTGGCATTTTAGTATCAATGAACCGCCTGAGCATGGCGACTCATCTCGCTGCTGACTATGTTGATGTTGTTGTTCCTCGTCCAAGTGTTTCGCCAACATAGCTCGCCGTCAGCCGTTGTGTCAAATAGAGACATACTGTTGCAGCAAATGTATTAGTGTTTCAAATGCTCGCTATCCAATAAGATATATAATTCATCGAAAACAGGTGGTCGGAAGAGAAGCATGCATTGCGTTGCAAAAGACCTCCTCCAAAAAGCTTGCGCAAAAACACCGCAGTGCCGGAGAGAATTGCTCCCACTCAATTGATGTCGGGTCATACAACACAGTCATGTATTTCTACACATTAAATTCGATTTGATATCAATGATATGGTAATTCACTTGTGGTCTTTTGACACCACCGCAAACTGGCTACCTTCATAGTAATAAAGGGACTGTCAATCAATTTCGGCTTGCTGATATCAGTCCCGCTAAACCTCGCATTAGGATCAAAGATATTATAACAATGAGACTGAGCGTCATGCACAAGCCACGCGGCACTAAGACTGAGATTTTGGGCATGCAAAAGCAACATGCCGATGCCAGTGAGACAGCCCTCACATAAATAATGAGGTAGATCAAGCTAATATCGAATGCAGTTAATCTTTTCTTTATTGGAGTGCCTGCTGTCTGAAACGTTAACGGGTGATTTCGAAACATCAATCCGTTCGCGGTCGTCACAATGAAAAATAGCTACTTACGTTAAATATTCTAAACAGCATAGGATCGCATCTTGTGCTCAAAAAGCGTTTATCGGAATATATCACGATCCGCTGCAACGAGACAGTCGAATGTCATGAGCTTCGTTGCAGACAGAGCACCATCGATACCATCCCTGTGGCTGATCTCCATCCAGCGTCGCGATGTGGTTTTGGACCTTTGAGGGTGCCAAATGAGACAGTTCGATGGCAAAGATCAAAGAGAGTTTAAAACCTGCTCATTTAAGCCTTAGACGCACGCTGTGACTCCTGAAAAAAGTTGACGTGCCTCCACAACCGAGAGAACTTGCAAGTACTAGCCGCAGGTGGGTCCACCTCTGCCGGTATTGCTCGAAGAGCAAGAGGTGGCTCACTTTTACGTGGATCGTTTAATAAAATAAAATGGTACACCAAGGCAGTTACCAGTACCTTGGAAGTGGAAGGGTAACCCACAGTCTGAATTCTCGTGAGGTTTCACGTGGTAAGATGACTCTGATATTATGGCTGCTTACTACTCATCAAATCCTCAGTCTCTATCTCTCTTAAAAAGGAAGCCGGGCCACCTGCCACAGCGCACTTTTAACCAGCGGATGACTAGAGCCATGCTTCTAAAGTACTCAAGGTTGGAAAGTGCTGAAGGTATCCCATGGAGAAGAGCGAAGTCGTAAGCGGCAGGAAATTAAGGTTATGCGCTGTAATCAAGTAGATGTTTTGTACTCGATACAGTCAATCATTTACGACTATCCAAGCGGACACCTGTGTCGCTGAAAATGGCTTAAAATATCTTCAAAAGCTTGTGACGGCGTTAGCTTGTTACGCAAAAGTTTCGCAAATTTCTTGGGCAATAGTCAGCGCGACTCTTGTGCTTGTAGTCGATCAAGCTGAAATACTTAATTCGCTATTTTTTTGCTGGGAATGAGCTAGACATTGTCATGATCCTTACGGCAATATTTCCCTCCATGGAAAGGGGTACAGAGTTCGAGACAAGTGCAGCAAAAAGACTGAGCGCGCACTAAGCGCCTTCTTCTTAAATAACGTATCGGCCGTGTTTTACTGGCGAAAATGGAGGTATCTGGTCACGTCCTGAAGACGCATTGCGACCGTTCATATCGATGTTTACCTACGCAATCTTATCGAAATATACCTTGAAGCGTGTTGGTCACGTAGGGCTGATTGGATAATTGAATTAGTCCACGGGACTCCCGATGCAAGTATGCTCTGAAAAGCAGGTAAGATAATATATAGATTGTGGGTGGGAATTCAGGCGTAATGGTCGCTCGTGAAGCAGTCACTTTTGTGCAAGTCGGCAAAAGAAAGATTAAATCAAGATTGCGCAGATATACATCATTGACTCGAACATACAGCGCCGGGCTGATCGGCGAATGAGCTTTTTTACTAACTGTGATCATCAATCGATATTGAAAACATGATTAAAGTACATAATTTGCTTGCAAAAGATTTGTTACGTTTGGTCAGAAATTGCCAGAGCGCAGCACGGAAGAGGTCGTCGACTTGATCGTTGGATTGAGAAGTATTGCTAAAAATTCACGCTACCTTGCTCAAAATCAGGTGGCAAGAAGCTTGGTTCGACGAAAGTTGTGGTGTTGACTACAGTCTGCCTTTATCAAACGCAGCATTGATGAGCAACTTGGAATAGAATTACATGGAGTAAATTACATTAAGTCGACCACAAAATATTCATATGAGTTTATAACACTTGAGGCAGGAATATCCTTTCTCACAGTATAACCATGTCGTTCTCGTTCAACTTTGCGCTGGATGGGGGACATGCAGCATCGGCTCCCACTGCTCCTCTAGCAGTTTCCTCTGATACTGATACGCCCATACGTAAGGGCGAACGTTTTGTATGGTCTCCCACCTCGTCTCTACCTTCGTTCTCTACTGTCGAGGTGGGTGACTTGACATTCCAGATTGTCAACACCTTGCACCCAGATTTTTTGATGCATACAGGCGCCATAAGTTGCATATTAACGAAGTCTGACGTGCAAAAGGGCGTGTATGAGGGTGGATTCAAGCTCTGGGAATGTGCAATTGACCTTGTTCAATTTGTAGAGTCACAATTACGTGAAGGAAAGATTGTGATACCGCATTCCGTGTTAGAATTGGGTTGCGGCCACGGTTTGCCAGGCATTCACGCTCTTCAACGTGGTGCACAACGTGTGGTGTTCAGCGATTACAACAAGGAAGTACTCGAGCTCACAACATGCCCCAATGTATCTAAAAACATTTCTGAATATTACTCAAAGGCCGAGTTTTACGCTGGAGCATGGTCTAGCATGTCTAACTACATGAAGTATATAGAGAAACAGAGTGATGATCAGATGCAATTTGGTCTTATCTTGACTGCCGAGACAATTTACACAGAAGAAGTCGCGATAGAACTTTACGAGGTGCGTTGAGCCATCATTTGATTGTTTATTTCGTTGCTAACGGTTGCATTACAGACAATTAAAAGACACTTACGTCGTAGTAAAGATGCTCGAGCATTAGTCGCCGCTAAAAAATATTATTTTGGCACAAATGGCAGTGTGCAGCATTTTGTAAACCTTGTCAAGGCTGATAATGTGTTGAAAGCAGAGATTGTATGGCAAGAATGTAATTATCGGTCCAATATTCGTGAAATTGTACAGCTCACTTATCTCTAAGACATAATATGCTACGTTTCCAGTGGCTTTCATCTCTCTTGAATCGTGTTTTTTCGAGACTATATATATCGCAATTCAATTAATAAGCAATTATCTATAGAACAGCGTCATAGGAAGTGGACGTAGGTGGGTGTTTCACACTTAACTTGAAAGCCATTCTTAAGAGGATGGAAGGGCCACCTGTGGGTTGCATCGCGTTGACTGGTGCTGGCTATGATCTTAACAAAACGCAATCGAATCGCTTAACTCGATCGTTTACGAAAATCTCACGTTCGCGTTCTTCTAAAGATCGTAATTTACCCATTAAAGTTCCAAGTGTTGATGCATTGCTTCAAGACTTACGTAAAGCTCTTCATGCCATGTATCAAACGACAAATTCAATTTCAAACGCTTATGAATACAATTCCCGTCAAGCTTTTCAATTTTTTACGACAACAAATACTATCACACAAGAATGTTTTCTACATAAAGTTGTACGACTTGGACTCCAAGCAACTCCACGCTTATGTAATGAGCTTTTTAGACGTATTGATCAAAAAGACTTGGGAGAAATTGATTATGCTACGTTTGCACATCGAATTTTCTTACCAGAAACATTTTATTCACCCGAGAAGCCGTCGAGTCCTGTGATTGAGTCTTTGAATAATTTCAATCCAACTCCCAATCATTCACCTCGATCACTTGTTTTAAAAGATTCTAACGCTGAAAATGTGTCATCAAAACTCACACGTCATGAATACATGACTTTAGATGAACTTCAGGTGTGTATTGCTCGCAAACTTGAAGAGAAAATGCCTCGAGGAAGTTCCGATTTTATCGTTCGAGCTTTTCAATTCTTTACAAATGTCGAGACAATAACATTCGTCGAATTTCATCGTCACTTGGATTTATTGCAGATTCGAATAACGCCATCAAAATGTCGTGAACTTTTTCTTCGGTTTGACAAAGATGGAGATGGTGTGATCGATACGTTGGAGTTTGTTACGACACTTTTTCCAAAAGACTATCGATCTTTAACTTATCCAAATAATGCCAAATTGTCTGATAATGAGCTTTCCATGTCGACGAAGCAAATTGTAGGGAAAGTACGAGAAAAAATGGACGAGTTGTTAGAGGAAACGGACAAATTCCAGCAAGCTTATATTCTTTTTGGCAAGACAGCAGATATATCACGTAGTGACTTGAATACTGCAATGAGAAAGCTTGGATTAAAGCTATCAGAAAAGCAGGTGCAAGACATGTTTGCGACTTTTGACTTTGACAAAACTGGTGATCTTGACGTCAGTAAATTTGTACAAGGTGTCATGCTTGATGACAATTCAACGTCCTTTTGGTTATCGGTCAAAGATCGGCAGAAAGTTGATAATACGCGTCGCAAATTGTACTCAATGGCCGTGGCATCTGTGCAACAATCGTGGACAATTGCTGATATTGAGCGCATGTTGCGTGAGAAAATTGAACAGCACACGTCGCGATCTTCAGACTGTTTTCGACAGGCTTTTCGCATTTTTAAAAAAGTCAATGGAATCAAACCAGACGAGTTTCATGCAGCATTAGAAGCAATTGGATTGGCATTGACACGACTTCAATCTGATATTTTGTTTTGTCGGTTTGACAAAAATGGTAGTGGAGATATTGACTTGAATGAGTTTATTCATGGTGTTCTGCCTCCTGATTACACGGGAATCTCCTGGGTCGCAGCTGCAGATGAGATGCATCGAATTGAAGCAAAGAAGAAGAAAGAAGAAGCTATGGCAAATCCGAATCAATACATGACTGAAATTGAAATGGAGAGTTGGAGTCTTGATGAAATTGAGACGCGTATTCGAGATAAAATTCAACAAACAACTTCGCGTAGCTCGGACACATTTCGTCAAGCATTTAAAATCTTTAAAAAAGCGAGACACGTGACCATGGACGAGTTTCGAGAGCGTCTTCTTGCTCTTGGTTTTCGGTTAACGCCAGATCAGTGTCGAGGATTGTTCAAACGGTACGATACAGACAAAAGTAATGACTTGGATCTACAGGAATTTTGCTTGAAGATTTTGCCTCCCGATTACACGCATGATGGAGATCACTGGTCACATTCGGAGAAGTTTAAAAAGGAGTCGCAACGACAGAAATTGGATTATGTCAAACGATCGAAGAATGGGTTGATCATGCTTCCGAAATTTATCGAAGCGCATCGATTCTCTCGTGGTCATCGTGCAACCCGTTTGTTTCAGAAAAAGCTCATGAAAGAAGCTCAGCCAACTGACAAATGTAAAGAAGGAAACAGTATGTCCGACGGAACTCGACCATCAACCAGTTCATCCATTGTTGAAAATTCGATTCAACCTTTAATACCTCGACCTCCGTCTGTGTCTCGTCCTCTGTCAGTGGCAACTGAAAGTTGTGGTTTACAGCATTCTTTGAGTCCTCGCCACAGCATAGGTCGAATTGCCCCTATATTGCCTACAGATGGAAAGTCACAAGGGTCATGTACTTCACGCAATATTCGTGTAGCAGATTCACCGACGCACGCAACCCCTCCACCATCAGCGCGCATGGTGTCTCTCTCTCGTCCGATATCTCCCCGGGTGGTTGACTCTCTAGCTTCACCTCAATCTTCTAGTCCCTCACGATTAAATTCTCCTAAAGCTAGTGAGCCAGCGATTGGGTATGAAGACGAGGAAATTCTTGTTGACGAATGCAAATCACAAGATCTAGCTCAAGCCAAGCTGATGTCGCCTAACCGGCGCAGGCTTGGCACACCAAATCGTCACCAGCGCTTTTCAATAGATCCTTATACTTCCAATCAAGACTTAATACGTCCAGCGGAGACTGTAGCTGAGTGTTCGACAAGCTCTTCAGGTGGTGCTTTGAAAACAGCAAAGCACATGCCGCAAAGAAATCACGTTTTGCTCATCAAGCGCTTGATGCAAGCAGCCAAAAAAAGAGCTGAGTTGAAGAATGGCAAACGATTGAATTGTGCGCGTCGGTGAAGATGAACGGAATCTCACTGAGTCAAGACCAACATCTGCGTAGTAGAACTTCGATACAAATTCAAAGGCAAATTGAATGGCTAGCCATGTCAACGAGCAACAAGTACCTCATACTTTCTTGGGAGTAGGTGAGAAGTGCAGTTTGGTATTTTGCTTTCATTAAAATACTAGTGAAACTTGCCTCGTATCTCGTAATGTGGACGATACGTGAGATCAATGCTCACTGCAATAGGCTCAATCCAACCATGATTTCTTTCCTTTGCCACGAGATATATAATCGCTTCAGCTTACCTGTTAATCCCGTTTCGTTTAGAATCTATAGTGTATCAGTTCGTATATCATTGCACTTCATGACAAGTCAACTTCATATGCTCGTCACTATAGAAGCAGATACTGATAAGAAAAACTTATTGCGTGGAATTTATCAAAGCTTTTTATTGCGTACCTGCACCATTCAAGCGACTTGACAGCACTGTCACTGATGCTCATCAATCCTACTTTTCCATTTAATTATATTCTTCATGCATTTTTCACGATAGGCCGGTTTTTTCAGCATTGCAATGCAGCAAATTATCTTGTTAATACACACACGGGCGTCAAAGTCCGCAAGTGGGTTCCACTGCTTAGAACGGTAGGATAATACTTCTTCGAGGTTCCGAATCGCCTTCTCAAGTTGATTAAGCGAAAAAACGCCATTTTGCCACTGCTCTACTTGAACCAGAATATCTTGCAGTCGACTTTGCACTTTACTTGGTCCATCTGACGCGTTTTTCGACAGTTGAGAATTGTCTAACGGCTCCTTTCTTTTCTCTACAACTAAGTGAAGCAGATTCGTAGCGAGTCTAAGACAAATTTACAAAACATTTTGTAAGTGCTGTCTTAGTGATCATTTCAGGAGAACTTGACGTACCTTTGTAATTCAACCTGATTGACATGTCCGTGAATGTTTTTGCTATATTCAGCTAGATTGTGTGCAAAAGCTTCATATTCGTCACCTGATTTATTCTGAAATGGACATTCTAGAATCCAACGCTTGACTATTTCAGCAGAACGCTTAACGTGAATGTGTTGTGAACATGTGACATCATTTGCCATCAACTGCCGCAGCAGTCGAAGTGCTTCGAATATGTGTTTCATATTTTCCGTTTTTGGCAGCTTTTGAATCTTCATCACAAGGCCTTGAAAGATTTGAAGTAGGTCTTTTGATGGTTTGATGGTTTTGTTATCGCCAGCACACTTTTCAGTATGGATAAGGATATTCGTGCGGAGGGTTTCCAATCGAGATCGCACTCTGTCAACAAGAAATAAATTTCAGAACATTACCAAAGCCCAGAGATAAGATTAATGACGTACTGATGAAAGAAAGTGTTCAAGACTCTATTCCTAGAGCAAGTATCTGACAATGAAGCGATCAACGATCGCACTTCCAGTGCACGCTCCGGGGTCCATGCAAGTTCTTGAAACAATATCACAACTCTCTCAAGTGCACGAACAGTGACTTCAACAACCATATTATCACTCGTATGCCCATCGTGACTCGCCTGGTACTGAAGGAGTAACTGCAGATTATTTAAGTTCTTCACCCACAATGACTTAGTGTCAGCCTGGAATTCCTTGTCAACTACCTTAACTTTCGAGAAAATCGCCAAAATCTCTTGGGCAAAAGATAAATTTGCACTTTTCATCTTATTAGTCGCAACAAGAGCTTTGCTCTTTTGTTTCTTCACTTGATTCTGCTCAACTTTTTCTTTGAAATTATCATCGCTGCATATTGTCGTCTCTTTCTCGTCCTTCGTTTTTCTCTTTCCTTTTTTCTTGATAACATCAATTCCTCTCGCTATTTTCTCCATTTTGTCCTGGATCTCCCGCTCCATTTCAATCAAACTATCCAGAACTTCTAAAAGGGTCTCACTGCGTCCTGCGCATGGTTTTATCTGCTCTAGTTGTTGCACGGCATCGCGGACTTCCTCGACTTTGGCAAATGTTGTAGCAATATCATTCACGGAAGCTGCAACCGCAGCATATTCCTCTCTTAATACTAAACTTGATGTGCGATGAAGCACTCGGGATTCCACATGCCCCAGAATGCGCTCGTAAAGTGTCAGAGTTTCTAGCGATGACATACAATGAATGGACTGCATTTTGATGTTAAATACAGTACTTACCTTACAGAATCTAATTTACTATTTCTTACATAAATCTGGAATATATCATTAACAAAAAAATTACTACAAAGACTTGTTGACTAAAAGATTAAGGAATAATATTTTGTTATCTAAACATATACTATCACAATCTTTGATATTGAAATAATTTTTTTTTCTTCAATCTACACAAATGTAAAGATTGGGTAGATGCTTAGAGCTTTGTCGTGTTCTAGGGACCCCGTCCTTTGTGCATTGGTCAACACAGCGAGGCAAGAATATCTCTGCGCAGGGTGCTTTACTTTGAGGCCATAGAACAACAGCGTAAAGTGTACGAAGACTATAAAAGCATATGTAGCTCATCACCAAATGGGGTCTCCACCGATTCACAAATATGAATATGTTTCTCAAAAGCGAGTGTACGCTCCGCGATCGTGCACCGTACAGGTAGCCCCCCATTACCTGCTTCTGAATACGCGTGGTTTGCAATGTCTCAAGGTTGATCTTTGTAGACCTCGTTCTGAGCAAAAGGACTCTTTTTGATGCTGTTAGCTGCATTGTCACCGGTGACGATACAAACCATATGTTCGGAACCGTGGAATTCACGTTGCGCTCGGACAAGCCCAATTGCCACTAGCAAGAAAAAAACTTTGTTGAGGAACATCTTGGCTATTTCCATACCGTAATGGTCTCACAGACTGCCGCAAGACGAGCTGTTTTTCTCAGACGGTCCATAAGCTCCGAGGCCGGTATGACCAAGGACTCAAAGATTTTCAACATACGCACATATAGGCCCAATCTTTCTTTACTATGTATCTCCATTATATAGCGCTCACTGAGTCCAGCGACTTTCTCTCTTCCAACATGGCCATGTCATGTGTCTCCTTGTATCTTTATTTGAGTTTCTCATAATAAGGACATATATGTTGTGTGCTGAATACGTCAGCGCTGTAATACTGCAAGCGTTACGACACAGATTATGAACGTCAGAGCACCCTTAAAGTCTCATTTTAGTGATATCTGAGCCCTGACTTTCAGCGAAGCAGCACCTCGACAAGCTCATACGCGGTAAGTATCGCTTTGTCAAAAAGCAAATTTACCGTTTTTACTTGTGAAATTTGACAATGCAGAAGCGCATCTTGTAACGGGGTTACATGAGAGTGACCCGTCACTCTCCCAAGGGAGCTGTGGTGTG